AAAGTGTGCCAAAAGAAAAGTTTTGTTTCCATTTCCCCACTGTCAGTGCAAGCAGTTAGCTTACAGTAGTCTGCTATCACAAAAAGTAAGTTTGTTTTGTAACAAAATGGTGAAACACGAATTTGCCACTTGTCTTCTTTTAAAAAAAGATGTGGTTCCAGTTTGTGTTGATTGTCACGTCTTTACAATTTGGAAAGTGCGTGATTAATGTTTTTTATCTGTTTATTCAGATGACAAATTTATTATCGTCAACAGTACTCTTTCAGTTTTTGAAGACATATCCTTAGTCAAAATTCATTTTGATGGTCCAATTGAGTATTTGTAGACTGTCTGTTTAATATCTTTTGATACTGCTCCTTCAACAGACATTTAACTAACTATAAGAAACTTTGCAAGTACATGTCAACTTACACTAATCATAACCCCAATCTAAGTCTACTTAAAATGTAATGAAAATTAGTTGGCATGTAGATGCAATGTAACTTAAGTTCAACAACCGGACCATCAAGTGTGAACCTAAGTTTATAGTACGATAACTACAACAGTTCAAATGTCAAAGTTAGATATCATTCCCAGATCCGCTGTAAATGCTGCTCTCCGAATTACTTGCTGCGTCGCAATTTGCATACTTATACTACGCCCTAAAAGCATGTACATTTTTGTGAAGGAAAAATATATACTTTTAATTGTGTAACAGTAGAGTGTGCAAGCTTTGGCACATACTACTTCCTCATTAATTGATTGTTACGTTGCTTAGTTATGAGCCCTGTCAATCATCTCAACACATCATCCACATTTCTTTCATATTTAATTTACTACCATATTGGAGAAGCAGCAGCAACAAGATAATCTGCCATTCACAAGTCTTTCATGCAGAGAAATCTCCTCAGGTCTCTGGATAATTATGCATTCATTAATGTCCAAAGACATCTTTATAGAAAATCAGTAATGTTGTTGCAGATGAAATATAACACGGAATTGAAATATTTTCCAGTGGGCTGAATAGTAATTAACAGTCATTCAAACAACTTCACAAAAGCCTCTCTAATTGACGGTTGGTCTTGCGCGTCTGCCATGTTTGTAGTTTATTTACACTTTACACCTGCGTTTGATGTTCTAATCAAAATCACATCCAACACGCAATGTACTGTGGGCAAATCAGCGGTTAGAGTATAGACGGTTCTGCACTAAAAAATTTTACCGGAAATTGTAAACCATCCAGGAAACTTTGGCATACTCTTTTCAACATACTAAGATTTAGGACATACTAATTCTATTTTCAAATACAATTTAGGATGGATAGTATGTAAATTGGGATGCAGCATTTGTCTATCTTCCCTGAACCTGTGTTTGTGTTGCCGGCGTGCTAATCAGCTATTATTGTGCACGTAATGAAACTCCCTTTTTTATGCAAACCTTTCCCTCTTACGCTACACGACACTCTGACCTAAACAAAGCTGGACTCCCCCACTTTCCAGACTTTTTTTCAACCTAGAGAAGTAAAAACACCCTGCTGAGACAGGGGGATTTCATGGCACTTTAATGCAACGGGTGTAATTTAGATTTAATTCCAATTAACTGCACATAGACAGAGAATATTTTTTTAGACCATAAAATAGGGCTGGTTTTAATGTCATTCGAAATGGCGCCATTGATAGACTTCATCAAAAATGCAACACGCTTAAATTGAAGTGGCTAGTGGAAAATCCGTTCGTCCTGTAAGTGCCTCCAGAAAGACGAGTGACCATACTACAGTAAATTTCCATAAAAATGATGGGAGTCTTAAGGTTGGCTGTTTGTTTAATAAAACACGTCGAGCAGATTGTTTCCTCTTCAATTATGCGCATACGGATAGCGCATTTGGTTCACCCATGGAAGAATGCGCTTGTAAAAATGACACTATCTCGACAGCTCATTCTTCTTACAGATAAGCCCCATAATCCTCCCCTCTCACGTAGTGAAAACCCGCATATCTCATCTCCACCATCCCTGCCGCCAAAACGCATTTTCGCACGACAGTTAAAAAGCACAAACCAACAAACAACTCTGTCTCACGTCGGTTCCTGACAAAGTGCTCCCACCTTGCAAAGTGTGTTCAGCTGCTGTTCGGATGCAGCATGAGGTGTCTGGGGTCATTATTTATTCACTTAGATTAGCTGCGCTGAAAACAGCAGGCCGATTCTCCCACAAGCATTCATTTATTGATGTGCAGGCACACGGCTGCATTATTCTGCCCTCCTGCCGCGCTTTATATGCCCCCCCATTGTTAACCCTTTGATCCGTCTGTCTGACTGTCTGTCTGCCCGTCTGTCTCAAGGACGTTTGCTTCTGGAAATAGCTTCGCTGTGATAATCGGGCAAGTGCATAGACAAACAATTTTGCATAAACTGATGGATGCATGACGTTTTCGCGTGATGATATGCAAATTTGCAACAGTTCAAAAAAGTCATGCTATTTATGAAGTTAGAGTTAATTTTAGCTTGAATTGAATAATGGAATGTACAGAGATGCAGTTACAGGGCATGTATACATATATAATATATAGACTTGGGAAACTTTACTTTAAAAGTAACCACCTAGCAACCAAATAGCAACACTTTGATCGCTACAGCGGAACAAACTGCCAACTTATCCAGCAGTGGATGCCCTTTCAACTGCAACCCATTACTGGGAAACACCCATAAACTCATTTACACACATACACTACGAACAATTGGACTGTGGGGGAAACTGGAGCACCCAGAAAAAACCCACGTGAACATTGGGAGAACATGCAAACTCCACCCAGTGGAGTTGCCAATTGACCCAGCCAGGGCTCGAACTAGCAAACTTACTGTAAGGCGACAGCGCTACCCACTGCGCCACCATGTCGCCAATGTTCTTGATATGACATTTTAATTATGGACTTTAAAAATGAACTTCTTTGACTTGGAACATAATGTAATCACCTAGCAACCTCCTCGCAACCACATGGCAACATTATGAATGTGATATATTATGCTACATCTCTTTGCGTATTTTACACATTTTAATTATGGGTTTTAAAATGAGCTCCCTTTCATCAAGAAAGTAACGAATTTAAAATTTGGCTTATTAAGTGCCACCAAAATGCAACCACCTAGCAACACCCTAGTGACATTGTTAATATGAAAGGTTAATATGATTTTTTTTTAAATCGTATTATTTAAAGTTGGGTTTCTGTCACTTAGACCAGAAATTAGCTTGTGATGGGTCGTTCTTTAATGATTTATTCATTTTAAACGAATCTTTTGTGACTCGAGAACTATAAGTCCTCTCAGAAAATGATTTGTTAATTCACACATGCGCACATTTGTGCAGGTGGAGGAGAAGATTAGTTCATTTTTCAAGTCCTCTATCGGATTTGAGTCATTGGGTATTCATGTAAAAGACAGAAGCCAATCGTATGCAGTCAGAGTCGGAAATAAAATTTGATCGATTCATCTCTCGAGTCGTTCATTCATCATGTGAAAGACAAAAGCTACTCAGGTGCAGTCAGAGCCAGAAAAAATTTTGATCGTTCATCTCTTGAGTCGTCGGTTTGAGTCATTCGTTCATCACAGGAAAGACAGAAACCAATCATATGCATTTAGAGCCAAAAAAATTGTATCCGGTCATTTCTCGAGTCATCGTCATGTAGACGAACGACTCAAATTTGAAGACATGCCAGATGAGGTGATCAGAGATAAAACACCAGGTAAACAATAAAGGATTATTTTTTCTTTCTTAGTATAGTAGCTTTCTAGTTATGACTTATTTATAGTGTGATCAACATTTGGGCTAGGTGTAGATGTGTTTGGAAACATCTTGTAACATTTTAATGTTATTTTGGCAAATTGAACAAAACGACTCAAAAAGATTTGTCCATTTTAATGGATGAGACCCAAAGGTCTGACTCAGTAAAATGATCTGAACTTCCCATCACTATAAATGAACCAGCTAGCAATATTCTCAATAGAATATATATAAGTTGCTATTTTGTCCATTGTAATTGTGTGCTCTAAATTTAACCACCTAGCAACCACAAACCAACATTTTGCATATGATATGTATCATATTAACCTTCTATGCACAATGGCCTTTTATGTAGATTTAAAATCTTACTTAGTGCCATCAGAATGCAAATTCCTAGCAACATTGTAACAAGGTTACATTTTATTATCAGCTTTGCTTAAGTAACCACACAGCAACCCCAGCATTCTGGCCACAACCCATAACAATAGCATATCATTTAACATCTATTCCCAAAATTGTGTGCTTTTCTTCAACAAGATTAAAAATAATTGTAGTCAATAAAATCCCTTCAGTTTTGCATGCCAGTAATCTATCCACCCCAGCAACCAGTCATGTCTGTATTTAAAGTTCATGCTCTGTGCTTAATCAGAGACTTAACCTATCTGCCCTGCCTGAGCTTGACCCATTGATTTCATAGGCTGCTGAGCATGGCACTTTGACAGTCACCATGGCAACTAATATTAAGGTGTCCACCTGAAGAGTGAAGATTGAAGACCTGTGGAGACCTCTTCCTCAAGTGTGTGTCCACATTCTTCTCGGAATAGCATTCTCAGGGATGCATGAAATGGTTTTCATGTCAACCTGTCCAGATGTGTTGCTATCAATATCTTGAAGTAGGGATGCAACTTGTGTGGCTTGAGACTTGGCTGCACCGACTTGGCCTTTGTTGAAGGACGCCCTCCGGTCTTCTCCTCCAGCGTCTCTAATAAAAGGACATAGGGTCAATACTTACATTTGCAGCACAGTTGTGTCTTCAGGCCTCACCGCGGGATTTCATAATGAATCATTTATGTGGGTGAAAAGGCTGTCTGAATATCCGATCAATCCTTGGGCCTGTTTCTAATAGGCAAGCCTTGAGCATTCCCTGCATTTTTCGGACACCAGAACTAGTTAGGAGATCATTATCAGTTCAAAGAGTGCTCGATTTCTGTAGCAGTACCTTATCTCTTGCTCTTTTTCCGCCACAGCTATACAGGCCACGTGGTGGGGAATGGACTGCAAGCCCAGAAACACAACCCAGAGATAAAGGTCAAAACTGCAAATCCAGTCCTCGTCAGCGTGAAGGAAATGCTAGAGCACTTCAACCAGGTAGGTCCAAAAACATTTGAAGTTAGAACATCCATCCTGCTGGATTTGGCTCAAAAGATGTATTCTTGACCTTTACCCTGAGTAGCAACACTGCTAGCGACTTTGGGCCCTATGCACAGGCTTCTGCTTCAGGCCCCCTTTGTTGAAATCACATTCTGAGGGGAATCCCTCACTGGGTTTTGCTGAGACCTTTTTACTATGTCCATCCTTTCCCCTCTATATGTGACCCCTCTGACCTTACCCTCTAAACATAAGTGTGACAATAGTGTGTAGCACTAAAGTTATGTACAGTTTGTCAAGATATCTGGTACAACTTTGAGGAATAATAAGATATTCTATTTAGTTGAAGCCAGCAGCCTTCTGGGCAATGCACTGACATGTAGCTTGGTTTTCCTTCAGGCAACTCAAGTTCGAGTCCCGACTTGGGGATCTGTCCTTATCCCACCGCCCTTCTCTTGTACTTGCTCTCACAATAAGTAAAAATGCCAAAACTAATTCTCAAAAACAAACATACAGTAACTGTTTTGTTGTAGAGATGATATGGCTTTGATGGTGTAGGCCAGATGTGCACTGAGAAAGATCCGACAATCGGAAGTTTGAGCCCTTATCATTCAGTTTAATCGACTTTTCAACTAAATCAAGACCAACTGAAGTTGGGCTATTATTGAAAAGGGATTTCTTGTGCCATTTGTGCACAAGTCAGTTCTAGTAAACTTCCAGCAAATTCATTCTGATGGTACTGTGTTTTCTACACAGAAACAGTTTTTTTATGTGGTTTTATTGGTCAATAATGACATCAAGATAATTGATCAAGATAATAAGATTCAAATGATTTGGAACCTGTCATAGACATGCCGAGCCCTGGTCAATTGAGAAAAATAATTGAAGCTTGGCAAACAGCTTCACATTTATACCCACATTTAGGATGACAGAATTTCTTTTTAAAATATTTATTTTGGGCATTTTTCTTTTTGATAGGACATTAGTTAGACAGGAAGCAAAGATAGAGCTAAAGAGTTTGGACAGGATCAGGAAAGATTTCCAAGCCAGGATTGTAATCGGGATGCCCAAAGCACAGTTGTGCTATAGTATCAGTGCACTCCTTACAACACTACCAGCACCAACAGAACAACACAATCTCACGGCAATTCGTAACTTTTTAGTTTATTGGCTAATTCGTATGAATTTGTAATAATTCGTACAATTTAGTACGATTTGCTTATCACCCAATGATGGTTGGGTTTAGGGGCGGGGATTGTGTGCCATGCCTCCTTTTTAAAATCGTACATTTTCTTACAACTTAACTCGTACGAATACATACGAATTAGCCACTAAACTGACAAAACGTAAAATACGTATGTTTCCTTGTGAGATCAGGCTGAACAGAATAACAGGATTTCTGATGAAAGATTTTTATTTTTTTTTTGTCTTCAGATCTTTAGTGCAAAGTTCCTACTAAAGATGCATTTTTTATCATTTAAACAAGATATTACTGTGGTCAAATTGTGCAAGCAACTTTTGAACAAAAAAGTATAGCTATGCCTTGTGTGTATTTCTTTTTATAAACCTTTCACTGAATGTTTGCTTTTGTAAGCCAAAAAAGAAGACATTAAGAACCACAAGAAGTGCTAGTTTCAAGCTTGCCCACCAAACAAAAATAGTCTAGGCCAACTCATCACATGTCAGGAGTGGTGAGACAGTGTCATTAGCCCAGAGTTTGCTCTGTGATCAGAGTCTATGGTCATGCCAAGCATCCTCAGCAGGAGTGTCGAAGACCTGCTTGGCATGGCGATAGAGTCTGTCGCTCCTGCAGCTGTGTTTGGGAGGGGACGGTGGGCAGCTCTGTTGGCCCTCTGGAAGCCATTTTGTAACATCTTTCATTGCTCCATTAAAACCAGACGCTCTGGTTCCACATTATGTCCAAACCCGACCCAGCCCTGGCCACATTGCTTCGCAGAGAGGACTTGCGTCACTGGCAGGCAAGAAAGCAGGGAAAGTACAGTAGATTTGTGTCAGGGGTTGAGGAGAAGGTCACTTTGAACCGCTTGCGGAATTACTTCTATTATTCCCACAGGTCATCACATGGGTTTTTGCTGTCACAGTGACCTATAGTGGTTTTTAGTGTCTAGCTGGTATTTCATTAACCTTCCCGTGTACAACCTGACAGGTAAAATATGGCATTGGTGTACAAATAATGGTAATACTTAACCTATGTACCCTTGGAAACAGGAACCTATGTAATAAATAGTGGCCATACCAATATGGAGACTTGACATGGTTAGTTGGGATGAGTTAGTATTCAAAGCATACTAGCATTGGAGTCTTCACATAATTGTTAATGTATTCCAGTTAAAGTAATGTGTTAATATCAGTGGTGTGGGATTGTATTTCGGCAAGGGGAAACCAAACATGATGGGGTTTTTTTTGTTGAATGTATTTAAGTCAGCCATTAAAGCACCATAAAATTAGTCCACGTCAACTGTACGTAAAAATTCAAAAATCTTCCCATACCTTCCAAATCTTAGATGTACATCTCCATTGTGCGTGTTTGACTCAGAATGTTGTTATAATGTTTTCAGCAACTTAACTGAATTTAATTGAATGTAAATTACTTTTGATCACTATCGCCCCCTTGTGTACACTGCTAAAATGTACATTTAGGCATGTTTTAAAGTAAAAAAAACAATAAAAACAAACAAGACATTTATTTGATGAGAAATACTGCTTAAGACATGTTTTCGATGTGTGTTGGATTATTAGTGCATTTCATCTCACTCAAAATGGAGACATGGACATGGTTTGTCGGGATGAGTTCGTATTCAAAGCATACTCGCATTGGGGTGTTATCATAATTGTTAATGTATTCCAGTTAAAGTAATGTGTTAATATCAGTGGTGTGGGATAGTATTTCTGCAAGGGGAAACCAAACATGACGGCTTTCTTTTGTTGAATGTTTTTAAGTCAACCATTAAAGCACGATAAAATTAGTCCATTTTAATTGTGCATAAAAAATCCAAAATCTTCCCAGACCTTCCCAATCTTAAATCTAATTCTCCAGTGTGCGCGTCTGACTTTATTTATTTAATTTAATATAAAATTACTTTTGATCACTATCGCCCACTTGTGTACACTGCAAAAATGTACATTTTGGCATGTTTTTAAATAAAAAAATACTTTAAAAAAACAAGACACATTTATTTAAAGAGAAATACTGCTTATGACATGTTTTCGATGTGTGTTGGGTTATTAGTGTATTTTGACTCACTCAAAATATAAGAGAACACACTTAGTATTAAATATTCATTTTATGAAAACACGTCTTAATATTTAATGCGGTATTGTCTCCTGAGCATATGATTCTTGCTTTAAAAATCTTTAGATGCTTTAACTGGAAGATTACACAAAATAAAATGATTTGTTTTCCAATGTACATTAGGTTGTTGTCAAATATGGATCTATTACAGAAGTCTTTGTTTCATAGGTAACATACCCCCCAATATAAAGTGTCCCGTAAATGTAGGACATGTGTTACACACTGAATAGTAATTGTGTCAAGATATCATGACAATTTGGCGTCTTAAGTGTCACTTTGTGCTTTCTGAGAGATCCTGAAATAAAAACCAGAGCCCCAGTCCCAGGCCATCTCTGATAAACGCTTATTGAGAAATTAATATTGCAATAGCATGTTCCGTGGGTGAGTCATCTTGCGCTACAGGGAAGATTTATGCGAGTTTACTTCAAAGGTCGCCGTTATTTTTTTTTTCTCTGACTCTTCCGTGCGTCCTTTTGCTTTGAGCGGACAGTATGATGTAATACTCTTTTGCATAAAGCTAAGTAATTTATGAGTCCTCCCTGTGCAAATGGCGAATGAAGTGAACCCCAGGCGTGACTTACAACAGCCGAGATGTGTCACGGACGGATGCTAATGAGTATGAATGCTTTCATAACCCGCTATGCAAGTAAACATATATCAAAACACACAAGCTCGTACAGAAATAACGTATGCAAGAAGATGTGCGCAACATATTTCAATACCATCTGAAGACACCTGAGTCTGTGTTGTTCGGTAATTGTTATGGATAGTTCACCAAACCCATATGATGACCTTTTGTCCATGAGGTGTTTTATTTCCCATATATCGAGCTGTCAATTGGCGATTTATACCAGGAACCATCACGACAGCAACATAAAGTAGACAAGCATGAATTAGGTACTAAATTCTGAAATCATATGACATGTTACTGTTGTTTACTTCATTACTGACACTTATATTTTCCCTCCTGCTGTAGACTGTAGGATGTAGGATTGTTTTACGAAACTAATTATTATAAACAATGATGTCAAGCAATAAATGTGAAATTATTATGACCTAAAGAGGATTTTGAGTTCTATAAATTAAGATTTATGCCTATGTACCTATATGTAGCTGTATAAAAGCTTTGCCCGATATCATAACTTTCGATATTTGAAAGTCGAAAGTTGAGAAATATAAATTTTTCTAAGCCTGTTCACAAAGGAAAAGGTTAAACAAATACATTAGTTTTCAGTCGGCTTATGCTACGGTCACACCAGAATTTGAGCATGGAAAATTCTGTCGTACGATGCTGCGAAAAGGGGCGGGATTAAAGAAGATGATTAGACATAAAAGGGAGCCATTGACTCCTATTTTAAATAAAATACAGAGAGGTCATGTTTTGATCTTCAGTTGGTCTCACGCAGTCACGTGATGCAATTTCACAGGTTAGAGTTATCAAGCTTATACTTTGCAACGCACCGAACTGCGAAACTTGTAGCACGAGGTTGCTTTTCCAGTCTGCCACATTTGCATACGTAAGAATGGAAGTCTATAGGGGGTCACCACTGCAGAATGAACCACCAACTACTCTGATATATAATGAAGATAAGCACCACACAGGGTGAGGCAGTGGCGCAGTAGGTAGTGCTGTCGCCTCACAGCAAGAAGGTCGCTGGGTCGCTGGTTCGAACCTCGGCTCAGTTGG